CAAGTCCCAATGCCAGCACTCATACATAAAAATAATAATTTTGTAAAGATCAACATGGAACTCCTTCATACAATTAACTTGTGCTAATAAAAACACAAACATATTAATAGGCTTTGCATGCAATATACTTGACCTTTTTAGTTATTATATACATCATAATGCAGTGATTAGCTATTATTGTAATAGTTATTTGTAATGTTTATCTGTACTGGGCCTCATGTTTTCAAGGCTACTCAGCAACTCAACCCTTGTCTCCAGTGGTTCTGCTTTCAAATGGTTTTCAGATGAAGTCTCTGTGTACTTTTGCCTGGGTTGATCTTGTTCCTCTTTCTCCTCTTTACCTCTGAGTAACTAGGATTCTAAGTGTACATCTCCATGACCAGCTCATTTATTTTTCATGGTATCTCAGGGGCTTCCCATTATTATTTTTTATGTAAAGCACCAGATTATAAAGATTTTAGGCTTTGTGACTGCCAAGATTTCTGTCTCAACTCCTGAACTCTAGATCACAGACAATATGCCAACAAATAAGCATGTTTGTATGCCAACAAATCTTTATTTATATACACTGTCATTTAAATTTCATGTAATTTTTGTGTGTCAGTGACCAAGTATTCTCCCTTTAATTTTTGCTTTCAACTGTTCAAAAAGTCACAAACAATCTTGTTTATGAGCTGTACAAGAACAGGTAGTTGGTTCTATTTGAGTGGTGAGTTATAGCTAGCTCACCATCTTGAAATTATGTGTTAAAATTCACATTTTATTATTTCCAGTATGCTTCATGGATAAAAATCAGCCTCTATCCACTCAGTTGGGAGAGGAAAGATTTGTTCAGTAAGAAAATATATAGCTGACCTCAGGGTCTCTAAGGCTAGGTAGAACATGGGTGTCAGTGTCTTGCTGCCTTCTATAATTCTTTAAGAAGGCACCTTGAACGACAGCCTCTGGCCTTCCCACAGACTGTCTAATTTCTTCATGGGCACCAGCCTTGTCCTACAAGAGAATCTTGCTGTGAATTATAAAGGAAGTCCGAGATCTTTGACAACTCCAACTTCTTTTATTCCGGGTAAATCTATACAGGAAAATGATAATTTCTTGTGAAACAGGCTAATCAGAAGACAGAAGGTCTCATTTCTTACTGCTGTCACCTTGGGAGTTAGGGGCTCCATTGGCGAGTTTTAAAAGAGCACACATAATCAGGTCCCAGAACAGGGATTCCCTTCCATAAACCTGTTCTATCGCTTCTGTGTATGTACTGACTGGAAATGACTGTGGAGCACACAGAGGTGGAGATTTTTGATTCATCTCCTTCATTTGATTTTATTTCCATGAGGCTATTACTCAATAAATAATCTCTGATGAATCATGCTACTATAAAAATCTTATCCAAGAAATATGTGTTCATGATAACTGAATAAATGCTTTATAACTATTTCTCAATGTGTAGTTAGCAGCTTCTATATTTATTTTTCCTATTTATGTATATGTATATATTTATGTATAATATCTGGATTACTTAATAACAGATCACTTAATAACAGAACTAGGAGAATGTATTTTCTGGTTTGTTTAAAATTAGTTGTAATTTTATCCTCAAATTTATTTCAACTACTAGGAGAGATGGAATGGACTTTTTACTTGAATAAGCTATAGAGAATTTTGTGATAAAACAGAAATCAGAAAAAGTGAAGAACTCTTTATAGATAGTGTCTTAACACACTCCATATAATTGCCAAAATATTGAATGAACACATTGAATGAACACATTATGTCTCACTATCAGCCTGAAAATAATATTAAGTCATATTTTGGGGAGATTGGAGCACATACATTACCACAGTAGTAACACTGAATTCCAATTTGAGCACTAAAAAAAGATCTGCACCCAAACATATGCTATTTAAAGTATATATGCAAGCAGATTTATCTTCTCATGAATGAGCCACATTCTGTATTCATTCATTCACTTCATCTTCACATAGAAATAATTTACTTGGATATTTTCAGTAAGAAAAAAAATCTGTATTACAGCAGACATAATATGAGAATAGTCTATATTGTGCATTCCACATTTTTGTGAATGTATTCCATTCTTTCTAAATTTTGAATTGGCTACCTTCCAACAATCTGTACTTCAGTAGTCTCCCACTCCCTAGTCCTCATTTGTGTATTGTGAAATGCTTTCCCATGGGATTCCATGTATTGGGAAATGCATTCTCACTGATGATACATTTGGACACTGAAAGTAGAGACTCAGCCTCAAACTAGTCCATAAAAGAGGTGGTGATTTTCTTCTACTAAGATTACAAAGTATTCTATCAATCAAGTGGACATAAAACTGTTTTAAAGGAAAAATATGAGAAACATGAATAGCCATGCTTTCTAATCCTTTGTTCTTATACCTCTATTTTTTTTAATTTAAAGATAAATTTGTTAATTTTTAATCACTGAATACACAGACTCAGGACACACATTTTTTACTTTATATAAACCACAAATTCATCATGGATAATACAAGGAAGTGTTACTGCCACTACAAAATGTCTGGCTGATAATGCTGTCAAACAGTCCTGAATAACTTTTGTAGTTGGACATGCTGATTCACATCATAAATATATCAAAGAAAATTAGGTAATAAATGATTTAATGTTTATGTAGACAAGTAAATCAAAAGCAAATGTGCAAGTAAATCTATAAGAAATGTTTATGCCCTCAAGAATTTGGAGATTTCCCAACTAAAATGGTTCATATAAAGAAGTAAAAATCTTATGAAGTAAATGATCTGGAGAGCTTTTTGAATAGCAACTAAACCTGCTCAATTCAGAAAATTCATACAGCATTTGCTAAGAGCCTGCTCTCTGTTCTACATGTTAGTGCTCCTAAGATAAATGAGAATAAGGATTTCCTCATGGGGATTCTGTGTTATAAATTGCGTTATGAGAGTTTCAATGAATTTTGCTTATATTTCTACCATAGTAGGGTTAATGTATTTTTTGCATAGATTATCATGTTATAAAATATCCTAAACCTTTTGTAATGTGGCTGAGCAGCTGGTGAGCTCCTTTGTGACCCAAATATGTTCATTACATACCTCAATAAATAGCTGGAAATTTATTGAAATTGTGAACCTCCTGGGCCAAGGTCCTAAGAGAGGGTCTAAACCACATCAAAAGGCATCTATACGCTGTTCATTTTTCAAGGTATTTTGTACAAGGTAAGCACATACAAGTTACATGTCTAAGTTATATGGTTTGGTTCCATATTCAAATCCAAATTAGATATGATAGAGTAAGAATCACATATATATTTGAATTTGTATAGCATATAGAAATAGTAATGCATATGGAAAATAAATAGCATTGTAATTTCAGAGTGAAATTCACAAAATGGAGTGGGTTATAGGCGACAGTATCTGATCTGAGCGTCAGAGAGGTCCAGCTTCACTTATTTGTTGTGACCTGCACGTAATTTTTTCTTGAAACATGTTTTTCTACTTGTAGTGGGTAGGCAAATCCTAATTCTCAGTGCATCTGGGAGTGTTATCCACCACTGGGCATAGGTCTTTGCACACTTCTGGTAGAGTATAGGTGTTTTCTGTACTAGAATAATAAGAGTTAGACAGTATTGTACTGATTTTGAAATGAGCTGACTTTCACTATCTCATTTAAGTCTCATATCAACTTAAAAATGTATGATGTTATCAATTAAGGTATTCATAAAAAAGAGACAAAGAAGCTCAGCGCTGGTGGCTTATGCCTGTAATCCTAGCAATTCAAAAAGCTGAGAGCTGAGGATCATGGTTCAAAGCCATCCCAGGCAGGAACATCCATGAGACTCTTATCTACAGTTAACCACCAGGAAATAGGAAGTGGCACTGTGGCTCAAGTGGTAGAGCACTTGCCTTGAGCTGAAATGCTGAGGGAGAGTGCTCAGGCCCAGAGTTCAAGCCTCACAACCGACTCCCCCCCCCCCCCCCAAAAAAAAAAAAAACGAGAGAAAGAGAGACAGACAGACAGAGAGAGATATAAAGAACTTGAGTGACATGGAAATTGAACACATCTAGGATTTTAATTTATGTTTTTTAGCTTTAGATTTTGGTGGTTACTTAAATGGCTCAGAATCAAAATAATTCTACTTATCAACACCTACCTGACTGCTTTGAAGCAAGATAGATAACCTGTTGAAGTCTTAGTTTCCTCATCTATCTGTTAAGGACAATTGGACTCATCTGTCTTTCCATCAAGTTATACACATCGAGAGACAGTGTAACACAGTCACAAAAGACAAAGGTATTGGAAATCAGCTCATGTTTAAATATTGTCTCTGTTGTTTTTTGGCTGTGTGTATTTGCAGAAATTATCAACTTTCTTTAAATCTTTCATTTAGCACAATGGGCAATGCTATATAATTTCTTTTTGAGCACCATTGTTGTAACAAATCTTACAATAAGATTCATTATAGAGGGAGAATTTAATAAATGTTTTCTTTGATTGTCATCTTAAAATTTGTCATATCTGATTTTTTGACTTCACATGAAATATAGTAAACTTTCAACTCATAGAGTAGATTTCTCAAACAATTAAATATAAACTTCCACATTGATGTGATTTCGCACTAGAAAGTAATTCCAGAAACTGAATGGAGACATATTGAGATCAATTGGTGGACTAACATAAAAATAAAAGGGTAACTATTGGGTAAGTTATTTAAAAATACAAAAAACTTTTTTCATATTGTAGATGCTATAATCACATCAGATGCATTTACGCTCCAAGTCTTATTAAAAAGTATCATGATGTTCATTTTTTTAATACAAAGTTTATTTCTAGTTTCCATGCTCTCATTTTTCCTTTGTAAGAATTATTGTATTTCTCTAGACATTTTAGGAAAGTTCAAAGGAAATGAAGAAGTAGCTGACTTCTAAATGACTACTAGCAGTGCAAACATATGCTTTTATTCCATTTTTCCCCCTTCTGCATTCACTCTTTCTTTTCTGCTAGGTGGCATGCATGCCGTGGTTTCATGGAGACCATACAATGCTTGAGATGATTGAGAAAAAGCGGTGCTTGTGCAAGGAAATAAAGGCTAGACAGAAAACGGAAAAGGGCCTTTGCAAACAGGATAGCATGCCTATCCTGCCCAGCTGGAAGAAGAACGCAGGTGCAAAGAAGTACAGCCCTCCGCCCTATTCTAAACAGCACACGGTATTCTGGGATACGGCCATATGAATGACCTTAAAGAATGACCTCCACCTCCATGTTGCTTAATAGAAGAGGGAGGCCAAGCTGGTCCTATGGTAATTCATTGTGACATACTTTCTCTGCCAGAGTGAAACACCACAGGAAGCTGCCCTTACTGTGGCAGTTCAAGGAAAAAATAAAAGTATATGTTCTTGCCATGAAGGCGTACTAATTGATCTCGGATTATTTTGAATCCAGAAGATATTAAATTTGTACATATGAGTTCTGAGCGGAGATCTGACATAATACATACTCTTACCTATTTAAATTTCGGAAATATCAAGTGTTTACGATACGATGTCATTTCGTTTTTAACCAATTTGTTATCTCTTTTATATGTAATCCTTGGATGCCTTTTATTATTGATTTTTGCATTTAAAATGTTTATTTTTGGTTGTTGTTTTCTTTGTTTCTCTCTTACCACAGTTGGCTTCTGCACAAGAGTTCAGAGCTACAAATCATATTCAGCCACAAACGATACGATCTGGTGCTAGCATTGTAAAAGTTAAACATTATTTAAAAGATTCTGCTGTTTTTTCCTTAAGTTTTTAAGGATTTGACAGGAAGTGAATGCAAGTGTGATGTTCCTTTGGATGTTCTTCTTACATCCACCAATATTTTTGCTACAGAGGCTTTGTAAGAATTTGTCTTCTATAACGTCATGTTTATACTTAATCATGGTTAGTCAGAGATCAGAGAGAGAATCAGTAGGGTACATTTGGAGATCCCAGCCTAGCCCATTTCCTTCAGAAATGACTTTGGGATGTGTGTCCTTGTATCATGGACCGGATTGGAGGAGACCAGGGTTCACTGTGACAATGGGAAGAACAAGGAATCAGAAGCTCCAAGAGCAGGACAGCTTCACAGAGGTGAGACCAATAGCATCGCAGCCACCATCATCATGTTCTTGTTTTTTAATTTTAAGAAAATTTTCATGTGTCTGATTTTTCCCTTAAAAATGAGAAGTCAACCTTCAACTAGACCAGCTTGCATATTTCAGTACACTACATGCCAACCTTTCTCAAAATGTACAGTCCATGGAATTGAATCTTATTGATCCTTCATGTTCATCAAGCTAGGCATGATATTTTGGGGTCATAATCTTGTATGACCATCCCACGCATTCTTACTAATTATGGCACCATGACCAAAGAGTTATGACCACTTCTTTATCTTACTTTGTTTCAAGGAAGAAACAGGAAATGCAGGGGACAGAGGGGTCGGGTGGAATCAACTTTATGTGGTGGTGAAATTTAAGTTTTCAAAGAATCCTATATATCTTTTAAAAAGTAACTTGGTAGTTGAATATAAATATTGCCACGGATAAATAAAAAGGAAACTATCACATATATTTTGTATATTTAAATGACTATTTATGCTTCCTAAAACTGACAGTATGTGGTTCTTCATTAATAACTGATTTAGTATTATATTTCTGAGAGACAACGTGTGTGATTGAAGTTCTTGTCATAGTAGTTGTCTTTGTGAGGGTATTGACAGCAATATTGTTCTGCTGCTCAATAAAACCAAATATTACAGGAGTTAGGGAATTTTTGTAATCTATATTAATAAAAAATAACTTAGTAATGCTTTATCAATAATAGTTCCTTTCAAGAGCCTTTAAAATGTTATAATGTAATTTTTTTAATGTTTTATAATTAATGTATATTTTGATGTCCAGTTATAATTCTGAAAAAATAAGGAAAAAGATAAGTGGGAGCATGTGTACGTATGTTGTGTGTGTGTGTGTGTGTGAGTGAATACACAGTGGAAGAATTTACACAAAATTGCTTACTGACATTTTAGATCTTGCTTATAGAACGAGCTGGTGAAACAGCAGAAGTATAAAACACAGGAAACCACAAGGGTATCTGAAATGAATTAAGTGACTTCTGTTGCCATATTTCACCAGCTAATGGTAACATTTCAAATATAACAATCAATGGAGCACAATGGAGAGATGAAAACGTTTTAAGATCAAATCCTATTTAAAATAAATGGTGCTTATGGCCCAAGTTGTTATCCTCATTTAAGTTATCGAGATGAGAGATAAACTCAAGCCAGTCAATCAAACACAAGACATCAATTCTCAGCATCTTTATAATCTTGGTACCAATGTATCTGCAGGCACAGTAGAGTAATGGTAGCCCTCTCTTGAAATTCATATTTAGGTCACAAACCAATGTGTCACCTAAGTAACAAGAATGCTTCTCAGATGCTACCTTTCTTATCTGTCTTTGAAGTAGACAGAAATTAATGTTTCATCCTGGTCACTTTTCTAGAAGGAAACAGAGGTACTGAAATGACAGGTCAAATTCTTACTTCTCTGTTTTACTTATGTGACTGCCACATTTCATGCACTGTTTTTCTTTACAAAAGTGTACTATTTTTAGAAAGTAACAGATCAGAAATTTTGACCATTGACAATGATTTTCACTTATTTCTTCAAATATCTTCCTACATGGGAAGTATTTATAATACCTGAAAATGTGGCTTCTCTTAGATATGGTTTGGGAACTGTATTTCCGTGCCTGCACAATATAAAATCATCCACTTTGGTGATGGTTATTCTATAGTCCATATCCTCTTTTTGTAGTATTTCTCTATATGGAGAATAAGAAATCTTAAGAGAGAAAAACAAGCTGTCTCTCAGTGATAAATCAGGACACTTCGATGTGTGAATTTAGTCAGAAGGTAAAGCTCATATTTCTAGCCGCTCCAAAGAACAAATCACACTGTGGCATGATTAGCTGGTCGAGAAAGCTCATACCTATGAAAAATGGTCTTTTCCAAGTAAAGTTTCTAGACACAGAGCTTAATTGGCTGTCAGCAAAACTTTTTTATAGGTGAAATACTTCTTAGCAGAGAAGAAGCAAATTTCTTTAGAAATGATAGAGGAATGGCATACCACATTTTCCCCAATCTCTCAAAAGCCAGCATCTTCTGAGACCTTATAGTTGGACTTCACATAGACACAGCATTTCCACCTTGTTGAGTAAAAGAAGTGATCCAATCAAAAGAACTGGAAGAGTACAACCAAACATTCCATAATTAGAATTGTACTTTTAATGAATGGACACATTCTAATACAGGCCGATTTTCTGGCTACAACTGGATATCACTTCACTTTTCACAATAGTGATAGTTTTCTTTGAATGTCTCTAGGACAAAAAAAAGTGAAACTTTTCTCTTGCCATGTTTTAGGAAAGGATTGATTCCTGCCTACACACAGATTTCAGCTTGACTGCTTTGAACAAGTTGTTGACAAAATTAAATAAAACCAAGCTACTCTATTGGGTTACTGTTCTAATTACCGAAGCAAGAAGCCAGAAGAGTGCACATATAAATATAGTCTGTACATCATTCACAATTTACAGTAACTGAGTTTCCGAAAGCAGTGCTTGTAAATTAACTAGGATTATGTGTGAAACTAGAAAAAGATTCCTATTAAGCAGTAAATATTCTGAGATGAGGGACTTCACTATTGTCAAGGAATATAGATAGAATAGACTAGTAGCTTACTATTGATTTTGTCCTAAATTTAAATGGAAATAAAATTAAAATGGTACATGGAATATGTATGATTTTCTCACTGTGTCTTTCCTTTCAGGGGAGACTAGGTTACTGACTGTAGAATGTGGACAAGTAGCTATCAACACATCCTTCCTTTAACAGTTTATCATTGAACTACTTGTGTATCAGCCATTTAAAAAAGTTTCTGAAGTACTCGGAAAATGTGTAGTCCTTGTCTTCAAGGAGCTAAATTATGCAATCACTAATATTTTCAAAATATATCCACTTGTTTCTAAGAAGATAAACAATTTCATAAGCCCGACAGCTCTTACATGATTAAATATAGCATTTTCTTTGTTTTCACATTAAGTTTTCAGTTACTATAAAATTTTGAAAGACATCAACTTTAATATCTAAGTATAAAATATGTTTGTGTATAAATCTCTGTATGTACACACACACACAAATACAGCTGTCTACAGAAATCATGATAACACTTGAACATTATGGCTTGGGACTTGAATGATATAAAGCCCTTCAATATTTGAATCAATTACCAATGTGTGTAATTAGCAAATTGCACAAATGTGTGGATCTATTAGGAAAATATGTGCAATCTTGAAAAAAAAGTGTCAAACTCCATTTCCCTTTAAATACTACGATGTTGCAAATTGAAGGGGAAGTAGTTTTAAAGAGCTATTGTTTGATTTATGTCAACCAAGCATATGTGAAAATCCTCATGTTTGATTGTTCCTAAAGATTACTGGGTTCGCTCACCCCGAAAGCTTCTTCTTAGACACATGATGTAAACACCCTCACACAAAACACAGACTGTATATAATATGTATGAAAGTGTTTGGTATGCACTTCTTTTGTTTGGAACTCCTTCACATCCATAGTGTAGCAATTTGTGTAAAGTGCCCTGTGATTATTAAAAGACAAAGCACAGTAAAGTCACAGGTCTTGTTATCTTGCACTAAAAATGTGTTTACGTATTTAGCAATTGTATGTTTACTTTCTTGCTCTTTCAAATGATTGAAACAAATAGCTATGAAAAAAATGTTATAAAATAATATGTTTTCTAGTGAATAATGGCACTAATTTTTCAAAGACAGGGTTTTTAAAGAAAATCCATTCAACATCCATTCCAACATAACATGTTTACTGTATCTGAAAATTTGAATGTCATACTGAATTTTCATTACTCATTAGAAATGTCAGGTATGTGCCTGAAAAGTTGTGAAAATAAGCATTAGGTAACAGATTTCTCTCTTCATGTGTTATTAGCCATTTCTATATACATAATAATATAAACATTGATGTTTTAATGTCTCTTAATTTTTGTACTTGATTTTTTTAGGTAACATGTAATTATATATGTACTTTGATACTACTGAAGTAACCAGATGTTGTTTGAAAACAGATTGATTTCTTTAGTGCATTGACAATATTTTATGATACTTTTGTGCTTATTT